GGTAACTTATCCTTCGTTTGAGTAGACATCGCTGGTCGACAAGAGAAAGTCAACGCAAGATTGGCTGCGTAAAATGTTCTGTTGATTACTTTCGTTAACCTATATTTCAGAGTATCACTAGCCACATCCCCGTTGAATTGTAGTTTCATGTATAAAGGTTTCTTACGAACAGTCGAAATCTCCGACTTCTTTATTATATCATACATGTACTTCTTAATGAAAGCACCGGGGTAGCCGATCTCGGTCAGTGAGTTGTTAATAAATTCAAGCTCCTGACTTAAAGTATCACCTGTACAAATCTTTTTTGCTCTGCTTGTGAGACATCTAACCAAATTTCTCTTGTAGCGGATAGGTGTGAAACTGCAGAAGTGGGTATATTGGCAGGTAGAGGGGCTTTTTCTATACACGCTTCTACTTAATGTGCCATCACATATATATACCTTTATTGTATAATTGTTAATTATCTAAATTATGCATATTCATGTTCCTCTTACTATAAGCCTTATTTTGACCCATAGACTATTATTATACGATTTACCGGTCATGAGTTATACTCAGTCTATCACTTACGATCCCCCACATTCACAACCACTTTTGGCTAAATCTTCTACAAATGTTGTTTTCTATTTTGTGATGCGGTATGGTCTGTTTGGTTTGTATATAAAAGCAGTACGTTTGGAATATATGATTCATATCACGGAGGCTGAGATTGGTGTTCTGAACTTAACAGGCAGGGCTAGGCAGGAAGAAGGACCGATAAGCATTCTAGACTGCTTGTACGGGTTTTATGAGTCATTGGTTCAGTTGATAAATCGCTGTTCTCTAATTGGCGGTATCAATACGTTTATATTAATTGGACACAAGGCCACAAGTTATAACAATGCGATACTAGATATGCAATATGTTTATCTTTATACATTAAAACTCTTTGGACACATTTCTGATTCCCAAGCATGGGAAAATTCAAACTTTATGAATAGAATTAGAGTCGTTGACCAAATTCAAACTACTAAACAAAGAACATAGTATTGCATTTTACTACCTAAATGATCGAACAGTAGTTATCGCTATTTATGGTATTGTTACTAGTTAAACAAAGAGTTTATTGATGGAAAGACACTTTGCTGTTTAATTTTGTCTGCTATCAAATAATGCAAATGAATAGAATAAAAAACTATCGAGAACATTATATAAATATACGTGATAGTGTTAATGATGGTAATAGGATAATAAACGATATGACGTGGTAAAATAGTCTTTAAGTTCAAATGTATGACAACATCTAAATAAAGCCTGAAATCGACGCAAATGATTTTTATCACAAAACTACTGCAATAAAATCTCAGTGCATCGCAAATTCATTTCAAATGGAAGTATGAACCTAATCTAAAGCTATGACGATTGCCCCAGCACTTGAAAGCCATAGTTGACCAATAACAAGAAAATTCAAAAAAAGAACGAAACGACTATTCAGTGTTAGATACCTTTCTCAAACAAAGTGTCAGCACGAAAACATGCATAGTATTTCTTGTCGAATGAAAATATATAGCCTATACGATCAAAGATCATGACAGGTATAGGTCTCAAAGAACTATTTTTATTTAGTAGTAAAAACCCTAGTCACAAAAGTACCTCCAACCCATTAAACTGTCAGAGAGTATGCCATACAACATCTTAGGTTCTCCTCATTATCTGTTATTAAACAGTTTCGCTTAAACCTGAGACAACATTAGTAAATTTGATTCCATTTCAATGTTAAAGAGTGTTTCAAAAATTCACAACTTCTTTGTTAGTACTAAAATTACGAAATGTTTTAGTCTCTCTGATGGGATTTTTTCTATCTACATTCTCACACAACGCTGTGGGACAACATAATAGGTGGATAAATATTTTAGGCACTGGACGGCTGTTTTGTCCTAGTATGGGACACTTCATGATCCCACATATGGGACTCGGACGCCTAACTTTTAAACCAGTGAGCCAGCATCCAATGATATAGAGCGCAGCCTTGTCTGTTGTGAGGCCGTTACTCAGTGAAGGCAATGGTGGCCAGTAGCGCAGTATCATGGAGTAAATGAAATTAAACATTAACACTGTTGGATGCCAGTCCAGTGTTCTAGAGGTTAGGCGTTCGAGCGCAAGACCAAAGGCCATGGGTTCGAGTCCCGGGTGGAGGATCGTGGATGCACACCGCTGAATAGCCCCATTCTAGAACGAAACGGCCGTCCAGTGCTTCCAGGTTTTATATGGTGGTCTAACATTGATCGATTCAATCAAAATCTCAACAATCTTCACAACCCTATACTGATATAAGATTTGCATTGTCTTCGCACTATGCTAAAAATTGAATTGTTTTGTGCTTGTCTAGGCAACAAGTGTAATCTGATCTTTGGTAACTGATATGATGTAAACAGTTTAAATTTCACTACTTATCTAACATTTTATGTCTGAATATAAGTGTGTTATCTACTTTAATTTCCTCAAGAAAAAGGAAACATGAAATTTGACTAAGTCGTTTAAGTCCATTGTATACCATTATTATTATGACTTTTATCTTTTCAACTATGAAATATCTTTATTCAATAAATAAAATACAACCAAATAAATAGTGTTGTACAAATGGATATCATGTTAACAATAAAATTAAAAAGGAGTTATTCATAAATCTACCAGTCGGTCAAATGATCAGAAAGAAAGTTGACTTAATAACGTTATATCGTTATTTTACTGTTATGCTAAATGATGTATTCACTGAATTAATCAGGAATATTGTATTTGATAAAATGGACAGTAGATTTAAATTTTTTATGGGTGATGGTAGTAGGAAAGAGTATTATAATACAGGAAAGCATTTAAAGAAGCCTATAATTTGCAAAATCACAGTTGTGCAGGTTAAAAATACGCTGGGAAATATGCATTCGACTTTGGTTCTTTCATAAAATGCTATATATGGGGGGTATTTTTAAGAGAAAAGAATTCATAATCCATCTATTCATACCACATAAAAACTTGCTGTTTACACTATCACGGCTTGACGAAGATTCCTGAATATTGTTCTCAATAAAATCTGCTAATATTCCAGAAATGAATTCTGTTCTATAAAAACATGTAAGAACTGATATCCACGCGTTATGTGTAGAGCTGAAAGATTAAGTATAATAGTTATGTAAACCTATAGTTAAATGCCAGATAGTTTTTTGCTGTATTCATAGTTTTCAGATCAGAGAGAAATAGTAAATAATATCAACTGGGTTGTAAATAGGTGTAATCTAAAAGTATAGACTTTGAGGGAAAATATCTTTTCAAAATTGAGCTGAAGAACAATTTATATTGGCACATCTGGGGCACCACACCAGTAATCTCTTACATTTCCACATACAGTCGTACCCATGATATATAGATTTTGTAATATGCTTGATATCTTTACATTAATCACTCATGGTCCCAATATTTCACCGTTGCAAACTCACTCAGCCTGAAAAATGTTACAGTCTTCATCCAAAACCATAAGTATATTATTAACTTACCTGTGTTTGAGCTGAACCTACTAAAATTGACTTTTCAATACAACCTTTCTCAACTTCTGTCAATATTGACTAGACAACCATTAATACAGTAGATAAGTTGCCGGAAATATTTTGTTACCAAGCTTATTTTCATCCAGTTTTTGATAGCGGGTGCATAAAAATAAAAAGCCCTTAAATCGGACCAAAATCTGTTATCAAGTTTTCATTATTATTTTAGCTGATACCATTTTGTAATAACATCGTATTCAAGATCTAAAGGTATATGAAAAAAACCAATTAGCCCACAATATGTGTTAGTTTTCGTGAGAAATAAATTTTTTCATGTGACTACCATAATAAATGACTCAACAATGCGTGCGCTATGTTTAGATAAGATGGTAGTTGGAGGTGGCCAACAGGAAATCCTGGACCTAAGTTTCATGCGACCTAGTCGATAGGATTCGATCTGCACTAAGAAGGACCTGACATACATGAAAGTGATTATTACCCAGTGATCAATCAATTGTAAATATATCTCAGTCCTACAGGAGGTCAGTCGCGGTCCGGATAGCTCAATGGTAACGTCTCCGACTGTGAAGCTGTGTGACACGGTATAAAATCCGTCAAGGAGCTGCAGATCCCTAAAGATTACATGTACATCTTGCTGACAATTGCCAAGGGGCATGAAATACTAGGTTCAGGGTTTCCTATTGACTACCTTCAACCACCATCTTATCTCAACACAATGACCGTCTATAGTTAAATCTTTGAAATGTTTGTCATTTTTAGAAAATACATACATTTACATTACATGAAAAATACAAATCGTTTTCTTAACTAATTAATCAACCAATCAATCGATGAATGATTGAGAATGCTTTATTTTCTCTTTGAATAAATAATCAAGAAAATATGCATAAATATATATATTTTATAGTAGACTTGGCGTCTATTCACTTCTCATTACAACTCTCTCTCTCTCTCTTATCTAACATTAACTAATCGATTTAAATCGAATCATTGGTTACACATATTATTATTATTTTTATTATCTCTTGAATTATATTCAAGTAATAACAAAACAGTTTACACTATTTATCTGATTGGTTATTTAGGAGATTAATCCAAAATAAGAAAAAAAACTAAAAAACAAACAAAGAAACAAACGTTTCTCTCTAAACTATAATATCAATATTTATGCATATTGATCAATTCATTTATACATGTTCATTTGATATAGAATGTTATGAAAAATGACTGAACTATTCATTTTATTATAAGAAACTTTGAGTATAACAATAAGTCACATACACAATTTAGATTTTTTAATAAATTATACTTCATTTTTCAAACAAAATATTAAAAAAAACTGTAACTCAAATAATCATCCTACTTTTATCATTGAAATGTAATATAAGTATATAAATATAAATTAATGAATTGTATTATTTAAAGGATAATTTAATGACATTGATAATTTATGAAATAATAATAATGAATAAACAATCATTGAATACAATTACACCATTATTATGTATAACAATACATATAGAAAATTATATTGAATTATATATCCATGATGAATATTCATTACCAATATTAAAATATCGTTATGAACAATATTATATTAAACCATGGAAACAACCAAAAAAATTTATTAAAACAAAACTTATATTAACCTATACATCATTAATATTAAAAAATGGATCATGGTGGCCATATCGTAATGAAAATTTAATAAAATATAAAACAATACAAAAAATTATTTTATTAAATCAACATAAATTACAATTAGCTATTGGTTTATATGATGAAGATTATGCTGAAAAACAATTTATTATTATATCAACAAAAAATATATATGATATTGATAGATTAATTCAATTAATTGATTCACAATTATTTATATGGAAATATGCATTAAATAAACAAATAAATTATCCATATAAATTAAATAAAAGAAAAGTAATAACAAATAATAAACAATCAATATTATTCAATAAAACATTGAATAAAAAAGATTTTATTGATAAAAATCATATGGTTAATATTATAAATAATATAACTGAGGGGAAATCATTAAGAAATATGTCTTTAAATCAATTTAATGAAAAGATAGTTAATAAATCTAATGGTATATTAGAAATTGATTATAATAATCCACAAGGTTATCGTGATTATAATGAACATAAATCAATATTACATATGTATAATAATATAAATGATAATGATTTATATAATGATAAACAAATAATTGAAGTGGTGCCAAGTACTTCAAATAATTTTAATTATAATAATAATAATCATAGACATCATAAAGAACGAACAAGAAAAGAAAAAGAAGAAAGTAGAAAGATAAAAAATAAATCTTGTCAAACAGATCCTATTTATATTGAGAATAATATAAAATCATGGGAAGTTGATATTAAACATGTACGTTATGATCCTATACAAGGAAATATTTTAGATGATAATGGTTCAGTTTATTTATATTCTGCACATGAAATTGACTAATATATATATATATATATATATATATATATATATATATATATATATATATATATATATATATATATATATATGGAGTGATCTATTAAGGAGTAAACATGTTTCAAATTATTTGATTTTTCCAGTATAATGAATGGAATATCGATTTGTTTATGTTTATTTTATAAACATTTATTTACTTTATATTTTCCATATTTTTTAAATGATATGCTATTTTCTAGAAAGAAATATTTAACTCTAATCCATATTCATTATTAATGAATTGTAATAACAAAATTCAGATAAATTATTATATCTATTACTGAGTAAATTTAATAAGAAGTAACTTTCATCAAGAACGGATCATATAAAGAAAGTTTTATTATATGATAATAATTAGCTTAACTTATTAAAGATATTAGCTTAATTTACTAGTGAGAAACATATATATATATATATATATATATATATATATATATAAGATGATAATTGATTCATCTAAGTATGTTTTTTTAAACTTAAGTAAACAGATTTCAGTTGAATAAACTAAGTTGGTTGCTTTTAAAGATTTCTAGTCTTTTGCTGCTAAGATATTATTACATTGAATTCTAACCAAAGAAATTAACTTATCTCTACTTAGTTATATCGGGTTTATCAGGATGAATTACTAATAAAGTTTAGTGAAATTCACTTTAGTATCGCAAATTGACTAGATTCAAAAGTGTGGATCACCAAATTCTAACTTATTTTTCTACTGATTTTATTTTAGTCAAATAAACAGAAGAGAGTTCCCTAATAGCCTACAATAAATGAGTAAAGCTAGCAACAAGTTACGAAGATACTGTGAATTTGGGATGATATTTAAGTGTGAACGGACATCATTGTCTAATAAAGATAAAGGTTGAAACTCAAATAAACTATCGATGTAATGTTATCAACTCATTTTTCAGTTCCAATAACTTCGTTGACTTGTTACACTCATTTTAATTTTATTCAGTATGAAGAATTTCATCATTTTACTTATTACTGAGTGAAAAAATTTGAAAAAAGACTAACTAAAGCTTTTGGAAAAGCTTTAAACAAATCTATAATATCACTGAAATCATGAACCGATCAGTGTTAGACCATTATTGAAAATCTGGAAACATTGGACGGCTGTTTCTTCCCAGGACTCGACTCATCAGCAGTGCGTATCTAAGACCTCACACACTGGACTAGAACACAATACCTTCGGTCTCTCATGAATGCTTAACCTCTAGACCAATGAGTGGTCTAAAATTGATCAGTTCGTGATTTCAATGAAATTCAAGAATTTACACAACCTCATGTTGAAAATATATTATATAGATTATGATGTTCAGTATATGTCGCAACAAACAAAATAATCCAAGAAGATGAGTGTTTTATAATTTTTATTTCAAAATAAAGATTAATGAACGTGTATTGTAACCAATTAATATATGTGGAATTTTTCTGGGAAAAACGTTTTTATAAAACATGTTTTCATAGAAAACTTAATGACACAGATAAGTTCATCTATCATGTACTAGAATAAATATAGTTTGATAATTGAGAACAATTGAAGTAATGGGAAATATTTTCAGCTCAGTTTGGTGTTTTGAATATCGCTAAGTACATTTAAAAGATAAACGACACTAAGAAGACATTTCAAATGTATTTGAATTTCTTGACTTTTACAACTGACATCTTAAAAACAAATAAACTGATGTAATATATCTTTTCAATTAGTTTTGATTGTCACTTTGTACTGATACATATGAATTACAATAATAGTATAATACCAGTTAATTAATAGTGTAACCTAACAGTTTTACAAACATTAATAAAAAACCATGTCAAATAATTAACTAGATAATTGGAAGAAGAAGAGAGTTGAGGTGATACTAATGTTCAAATGAATTGTTTGGTAACTAGTCAAATACTAATCATAATTATACAAGAATATAAGAACGATTATTGTAGTTATGTGAGAACGAAATAGAAAATAAACGAAAGATAAGTTGTTCATAAGGTGGTTAGGTATGGCCTATATCAATGCCTAAAGCAAGACAGATACTTGTACAACTTTTTTTCAAAAGTATAAAATGGGTTTATTTAACCAGATGAAATATTTTCTCAATATAATACTTCATAAACAGTTCTGAATTTTGCATTATTGTACAATTTTTTTTCAATTATCAGTATTATGGTTTTTTAGTGTTATATAAACAAAATGTAAAGCTACTTGATGAACGTTGAATGGTTCTAGAAAATAGTTGTGATAGTTGAAATACCGTTTGCAACAAGCCAACATTTGTTCATTAGATCTCACTTCCAAGATAGTTACTTTTTAAGTTTTTGTAACTCCTACTAAAAAATTCACAAGATGACAGTTTGACAGTAATTTTCAGATGCTGGAATTACGTCTTTTTTCAATTTCGGAGCCAATAAATCCCAATTACATAAACTTTCACATGGTTAATGTTTTGCAAAAATGTCTACTGATGTTAATTGAGAATGGGAAGACAAAATTGTTGAATGGAAATGGGGACTTATGAATGAAAATTTTTCAGTAGATTATCTTACGTAGCTATGACTTTCTCAATAGCTTGAAATTTGAACCAAAAACGTTGATACATTAGACACGTGTGTCAATGTATGGTGTCGGTGACTTAATTGAGTTTAGGTCTTGAATATAAAATATAAAAAAATATCAGCTGGAGATTAATCAGTATTTTCACAGTTCACGTGTGAGACCAAACGCACTGGGTTCAATTTCTGCAGCGATGTCGTAGATGTGCCCTTTAGGGAGTCCCATTGTAGTATGAAACAGCCATCTAGTGCTTCCAGGGTTTTCAGTGGCGGCCTAAGATCAGCTCGTGATTTAAACTGTGAAAAGTTTACAATCTCCTCGAGTCTCTTTTACTGAACCGAATTTACTGTATTTTCATAACAATAGAACTACAAAGAATTTGTGAAACATAATTGTACCAATGATGGTTCGTTTTCGAAAATTATTCGTAAGTATCTTAGGAATATTGTCTACTCGATGATCATCAAATAGCATTTAACAAGAAGTTTGGTTATTGTATTATTCCTGATTCACAGGGTTTACTCTTTAACTTATCTAATGAAGAACTAATTCTTTTCAGACAATAAAATAAAACGTTACGGAAGACTGAGATCGGCTGATATTGAAAATCGAAATTAGCCACCCATTAACTAACAGAATCCATCTCATAATAAGCTAGCAACTCGAATATGAAATTTCAGGATAGTAAACTACTATATTTACTAACCAAAGTTTAAACCTATCACTGCTCTTCAAACATAATACCAAGCATATATTTCATCAGCATTCAAAGCTTGAAGACAGCGTCGTTTTCAGTTTTTTTAGTCATCGATTGACACGTTAACAAAATAAGGTTATCAAGAAGCTTCAGAATAATGTTCAGATTTGCATTTATTCATGAACTAACAATATTGTGATATACACGATGAAATATTAATTAATGTTGATGAATATGTTACATTGAAAACAAAGTTAGTGTTATACTTTCATGTATTTACGTATGTCTAGATCAAATTCTTACAATTTTGAGTTGGGAAGAATTTTGATTATCAAAAAACGTTGTACAAAGTCCAGATAAGACAATTTCTGAATGATAAATGTATTGGCTAATGTTATCAGCTAATTAATTACAATTCTTATATTAATTTAATTGATTCGGGAAACCAATCAAGTGAAATCCGGACTTATTGAAAAGGAGTATCCATTTAAATCATATACAATCGACTATGAACTTAGATATGTAGAACAACAAAATTGAGATTAAAAAAATACATAATTAGATTTATCATCAAGGAAACTCTATGCTTCAGGTATGATATAAGAATCTCTAGTGCATCAAAAATTAAGGGGCGAATCATCGTGTAGCTTCAACCCAAATCACTCTATTAGAACTAACCGTTAAGTGACTTAAGCTGAAATTTGTTGAAAACGGTATGCATTACCTTAGTGTATTTGATATTTTAACTCACTATTTAACGAATACTACTAATACTAATCTAACGACTGTCTCTTATGTAATGAGTTAATTACATCACAAATTCTTTTCAAAACAAAATATTTGAATGGATCATCAATCTTTTCAAATTTCTTGATACCTTCAGTAACGTGATATCAAAATTAATTTAGAAACCAAATAATCTTGAAGTTTAATTTTATTTTGAAAGATTTCATCGTATTTTAGCTTCACAAATAATGGTAAATAAAAGACAAGATGATAATATTGAACAACTTAAGAATGATAAGACTTACAGAATTAAAAACGAATTCATTCGATTTTAAGGCTACAAACAATAATAAGATTGTCATTCAACAAATTTGAACTTTCAGCACTTTTAATTTTGAAGACTATACTTTCATTCAAGTAAAGACTTGGGAGTACTAATTCCTAAAATCTTGTAGAAGTCCTTTTCTTAACTCTTTTTATAAACCTGTTACCACAAGTACATTGTAATCCAGTAATACAGTTGACAGTGGTATCAAAAAGTTATAATCAACTTTTGAATAGTTTAAAAAGAAATCCGTATTGTATACTGAAACCAGTTGAGCTGAAGAAGAATGTGTTTTTTTCGTGCTCCTCTAATTCTTTTATAAATTCTTAGTAAAATCCTATCCACATAAAATGGAAAATAGAGTTTCTGTTTACGATTACCAGATTACTTTCCTTCGTATTTCCTAAAAACATTTTTTTAGATATGCATTTAAATTATTCTTTCCAATGGTTCTTTGATTTTTTCGTCTGAACAAATAATTCCAAATCTCATAGAGTTTTTAAGCAAGATTTTTATCTACCAGGACCAAAACTGTCTTAAGTACTACATCGTCAATGTCTCTTTCTTGTACATAATTTTTTAAACAGTCTTATAACCTTTTATTTTATTTCAAGATCTTAATAGCTAAATCGGTTATCATTATCACATAGATATTATCAGTAACTTTAAAGAATAACGGGTTT